TTTCGTTATATGTAGGTATTGTACGACAAACTACGAATATTTTAAATGAACTGAAAATTTAACCATTTTTCCTGGATAAGTTCAAGCGATAAACTTAATACCTCATCTCGTTTATTTTTATTGTTACCTACTGTATTCTATTGTATTTTCTGTAATAATAAATAAATGATATTACATATCAATATTATTTTTCTACTCCCACCTTTAAAACGCCCATTATCTTAGATGTTTCATGACACTAAGTGACCTTTTAAATACACATTGACAAGTTGTGGGTTTTTGGGCTTTAGTCAAGTGCTAAAGTTAGCAACAGGTTTTTAATCACGGGCTGAACTTATTTTTAAGTTAGTTGACAGTTCGCGAGGCGAAAATTATAATATTCTATCTACATAAACAATAAATTGTCAAGAAAAGCGTTTAAAAAATTGACCATATAAAAATCAATTTTAGTTGGCTTTATTTGGTCAAAATATAACACAGGCCGACAAAAATAAAATTTCTGTTTGGTGCATGGCAACCAACAACTTTTTAAGGGTAATTTGGGTACGCTGAATCAAAAAATGAACATAATTTTGCTCAATTAGCTCTTGTTTTTGCGATGTAGAATAAAAACAATTTTTTTTCGATATGCGCACATTCAAATTCTTATATATATTTTTTTAAACTTCTAAGTTAAGCAAGGATAGTTGGTAATAATGCTATGGGTCTTTATTAAACTAAAAAAAAATACCATGTACATTGATAATGGTATTCTCTTTAAAAATCTTGCTTTCATCGAAAGAAAATCGATTTTTTAGCCAAAATTCGGATATTTTTAAAATTCAAAGTGATACAGCATGATACATTTTTGTCCGATTTAAATAAAATTTACCCTATTTGTAGCTCTATTTATCTACTTTATAGTGTTAAAATTTCAATGCAATCAAAAATTGAATTAGAGTAGTGCTGCCGTGCTAAGCTAAACCCCCGTATCTGCAATATTAAATAAAAGATCATTTTCATTGTTAAAAACAATAAAAACTATCTTTTATCCTTTATTATTTAATATTGCAGATACGGGGGTTTAGCTTAGCACGGGAGTGTATGATAGAGTATTGAGAGCAGCAGCATATTCTACTCATACTCTCATACACTAATTGGGTACTACGTGTACCACTTAAATAAACCACTTAAATAAACTCCGTGAATAGCTATTAATATTCTCAGAGCCTATTAAAGTGGACAATTTTTGTGCCTAGAATTTTAGACCTGATTTTAAGTCTAATAAAAAGATGTCAAAAATATTATTGTTTTTTTTTCTATTAGTTTTAGGCCCAGTTGTATAACAGTTGGTTAACAGCTGATTAGCTGATTAACTCTTAAATTTAATTTAATTTATTGTTTAGCGGTGCTCCGTGATAGACAAAGTGTACCACACTTAGATAATAACTAAGTGTAATTTATTGACTTTTCCAGGTAGTTTTATATTATTATGTGAATTAGGTATGTTTTGCTCATTTATACTTTTTATAAAAGAATAATAAACAAAAATAAAATATAAAGATAGAACAAAAATACAGAATAAAAATGAATTTGATTTTAAATTTTGTTCTATCTAAATGAATTTTAAATAAAAAAGCATTTCTTTCACAACTTTATTCTTACACAATATAGTAAACAATATGAAACAAAAAACCAAATGAAAAACGTCATTTTTTTTTCAGCTTCAATTTTTTTCTCATGCATTTTATCTTAAAATTCTTAAAACATGCTTTTAATAAACTGCTTATTAGAGTCTGGAATTAATTTAAATAACATGCTTTTAATAAACCGCTTATTAGAGTCTGGAATTAATTTAAATAATTGGTATAAATAAATATTCAATTTTCTTAGTTTCTTTAAGAAACTTTCTTGACCTATCACTGGCAAGTAAACCTTTTTTTACCACCGGACATGGTCTCACCCGCAACTTAAAAACTCCTTTGTGGCTTCTTGTTCCAATACGATAAATTAGATTTGCCTATACAAATCTTTGTCATCTTGTACTTTTTTGTAAAATATTTTCGTAGGAAATTCTGGTAAATATTTAAGGACCTTCACCGATGCATAAGGTAATTTAAAATTAATATTCTCTGAGGATTTCCCGTATTTGAGTGTGCCCTGGCTCTGAAAATTTTTGTGTTATTTCCTTGATCTTCGGGAATTCTTCAATAAACTTCTTTAAGGCAAACGACAACTGAATTAAAGGTATTCAATTTTTTTGAATAAAAGAAACAGGAAATATTAGATCGTGGAAGAACAAATACATTCTCCATATCAAAACAAATAACGGCTGTTGTTTTATCTGTACTCTGGCGGTCCTTATACCTTTTATTTTGCAAAACTCCTTTGATTTAAAGTGTTTTTATAAATTTCTCCACTTCTATAGCTAGGTTACCACCATTTTTAAAATATTATATTATATTCTTTGCAAACTCCACATTTTGGTTTAAGAAATTAGTAATTGAAGATGCTTCGATAAAAGCTCTTTTTAACTGGTGTAATATTTTTCTTATTACATAATTCCGTGTATATTTTATTGTTAGAATTAAAAAAAGCAAGTGAAATACAATAAATTTTTCACCATATTTTCTTGTTTTTTTTTGCTTTTAGCACAAAATTAGGACACAAAAAAGCTCTCATGTATCGGAGTCAGTCTTGAACTGAGTTATAATGTTTTATTTCCAAAATTCCGACAATCCCATTGGCGAAGCAGATAGAACATTATAATGATTTGGTATTGCTGCATGGAAATAAAATATAGAACAATTTTCAAATGCATTTTGTAGCTTAAAGAGTAATAAAAATTATTTTAAGTCATTGTAAATATAACCATATTCATTAAAATATCTTAACCAAGCTAAAATCCCAGATTTGGAAAAAGTGCAGATAGAACAATATAATTCTCGCCTCGCGAGTTATCAAATGTCATGCAATCGTTAAAATAAAGTGCCTTTTTTGTAAAATAATTCTAAATGTGAAAATTATTTTATTATCTCAATACAAAAATACAATAGTATATTATGTATCAAGTTTGATAAACGCCATTTTATACACGAATTTAATTTAATGAGTGTATACAAAAGTTCATAAACGAGGTGCATACTATACTTTTTCTACGACAAATACTTATTATTATCTTAAAATGATTTAAATCAAAAATTTGTATTGAGCGCCATCTATGAAACAACAGGGGAAACTGTCAAATGTCACATTTTTACATTTTATAAACGTTATAAATCGAAATGTATCTTGAAAATTGACAGTTTTTCACATTGAAAGTAAAGGAAATGTTTTATGAGGACTTTACAGTAGAGTCCGTGCCCGAATTTAATTTATAGTTTACTGCTGGCGAAATTAAAAGGTCAGTACAATGTTCATATAAACTTTTCAAATATTGGCGTTGAGAAACTATTTAATATTTTTTTATTGAGATAATAAAATAATTTTCACATTTAGTATTATTTTACAAGAAAGGCACTTTATTTTAACGATTGTATGATATTTGACAACTGTCAACTAACTTAAAACTTACTTCAGCCCGTGACTAAAAACATGTTGCTATCTTCAGCCCGTGACTAAAGCGCCCTAAAGCCACAACTTGTCAATGTGTATTTAAAAGGTCACTTAGTGTCATGGAAACATGTACGATAAAAGGCGTTTTAAAGGTGGGAGTAAAAAAAAGTATTTATTTAAATAGTTTCTTGACGCCAATTTTTGAAAAGATTATATGAACCACAAAGTGATATGAACGTTTGTACTGACCTTTTGATTTTACCGTAGTAGTGCAGTTATAACTAGATTTAATAGATTTAACAGATAAAGCGTTAAAAATTTTGTTATAGATTCCAATAAATAAAATTTAAAGTTATTATAATATTTTAAAGTATCAATAATTGTTAAGTTTAATTAAAATATTAACGGGCAATGTTAATGGTGAAAATTACGTCAAAAATGTTTATTGGGATGGTTACAAACAGGGCCGGGCCTAAGGGGGGTGTAGGGGGGGAGTCACCCCCCCCAAAGTCTTGGCAGTTGGTTCCAAATCCAAACACGGTTGGCAAAATCTATAGTATTTGGGTCGGTTGGTTGGGTATACCTACCTTACCAACCAACCCATCACAATAAATGAAATGAAATATAATTTTTAAACTTTACCTACATATTACAAAATTATAATTTTTAATCTATTGTAACCTCCTATAATCGTTACCGTCAAGAAAATTGTATTGGTCAACCTTATTTTTATTAAAGGACATTATATTTCACACAAGCGGCACCGCCTCGCGGCTTTGTCTTTGGTTTTGGTGGCGTTTGACTCTTTTTACGCACCGCAATTTTCGGCGTCTTATTTTTCTAAATTATTAATTAGTTGAAGCTTATCTAAGCTAAGTAAAACTAGTGTCAATAAATAGGAATTAATTTTTTTTAATATGGAAAAGAAAGCTAGACCGGGCCAAGTTCTAATAAAATGCTCATTATGTGGATCTGTGTTTAACAAGGACTAGAAAAAAATGCACGAGGAAAATATTCACGGTGGAAATTTGGTTAAAATTAAAATTGTTACTGTTCCGGATAATCCACTTACATTGGTAGCAAATAAAAAAATAGAGACTTCAAAAGAGCATGCTAATGGTAGGTAAAGACATTCTTTATCTACACTTTACAATACTTTACATTCATGATAAAACTACTGAAAATTTTTACTATTACTACTAAAGTATCGATAAAAAAATAAGTTGGTTTTTTTATCGTCTCCACACCCCCAAAAAAGTGTGCCTCGGTACGCCCCTGGTTACAAATATTTAATTTAAATCATTTTTTAGATTGGCGTTTATCAAACTTGATACATAATTTACTATTAAAATTTGTAACAAGATTTTTTAATCATCTTTTTGTCTATGTAATAGTTGCCAGGTTTTAAAAACCCGGTTTAGAAGGATTATTGTGTAAAAAAGTTTTAATATTATTTTTTTTTTCAGTACATAGCATCGCAAGTGTTGGGCTTTATATTCTCTTTGGCCGGAGCAGCCGTCCTTCTGGATTACAGCGCACGAAACAGCCGTTTCCAGCCCCAAGTTCGCGAAACGATGCGGGGCCTCATCATGAATGCGCACCATGAAGAATCACGACAAACACTGGCCATGATTCAAGAAAATGTGAGTAAATTTATTTAAATTCGATTCTCCCTTTCATTGTTTGCCAGTTGTTGCCTCTTTATTTGCGAAAATACAGTCAACAATGATTTGAGAGCAAAAATTACACTGGGTGTGTACAGAAGCGAAAAAATTAACAGGTAAATGTCAAATAAATGGTCATTAATTAACCCCACTTCTAATATAATTTAATTATCAAAAACCAATAAACGGGGTAATATTATACATTCATAGAGGTTCAAAAAAGACGCATTAATCTGAAATGCGCGATGTGATCCATATATATTTACAATGCACTTCGTTTATTTTTTATCTACGCCAGTGAGATAAGAACTTCTTATCCCACTCATTTTGAGTGAGATAAGAAGTTCATTAACGCACGCGTTTTTCTCTGTTTTTAACCAATCAAACAAAAAAGTCAAAATGTCAAAATAACCCTAAATTAAGTCTTAGACAAAAATAATTACCGTTTATTTTTTCATTTAGAGGCGTAGATAAAAATGTGTACAATATACGTGTGATAACGCTTTATTAACGTACTTTTGCGATTGCCCAACTCGTGCTACGCACTCGTTGGGCAAATTTCGCATGCGTACGTTAATAAAGCTCTTATCCCACTTATATCGTAAATAACTATAAATGGAACCCTATAAATACTATTGAAATTTTGAATTCCACGTACAATTCTGGGGCAATTATTTTTTTTAGATTTATTCGGTTTATAAAATTCTGAATCGTTTTCCTATCTTTAATAAAGCCGGAAAATGTTAAAAATATCGAATAAAACCGTGGCACGATTTGTTGTGTCGTTGGGTGTATTTCGAGGGGAAGTCCTGGGTTAAGTTTTTACCGGTTTCCCAATACAGTTGAAATCCGAATGAAGAAATAAATTGCATACAGTCCCTGAAAATATACATAAATTATACTATTAGATACAATTAATTCACATTTAAGTAATGATTTACGTGGCACTTAATTAATTAACAGCATTTAGCATTAAAAGCGTTCATTAACAAAGTCTCCACTTAACAGTAAAATACCAAGAACCGGTATTATGTAATGTAATATATATAATATTATGTTGCCATGAATTCGAAGGTATATTTTGTCGTTTAAAATGAAGTTTTCGGCATTTTTTAGAGGACTTAAACATAAAAATATTCAATTTTAAGGTTAGGTTTGTACAACAATTATTTTTTGTTAGATTTCTTAAGAACGTCAAACTTAAATATAAATTATATTAGGTAAAGTTATCATTAGTTAATACTGCACCAACAAATACACGTACCGAATTGGATTATTTGACAAAACATGAAAATGCAACGATTTAGTTCTTGAATTTTATTTACAATTAAAAACACAATAATTCACCATGCTCATTTAGATAAAATACACATACTAACGTAACTATATAAGCATATAAGCGTCGAGTTTCTTAATCAATGATTATAAGGAATAATAAATCAAAATCGATTACCAAACCAAAGTTTGAATCGAATACCACCAGATGGCGCGCGCGTTGCGATGCTTCTTTAGCGTATTGTAAGTAAAGCATGTCATCTGTGTTTCCATGTGCACAGTGTCTGTATGTGTATGTGTGTGCCATACTGTCAGTGTCAACTTTACAAGTTTGTTTAGTGTATTTTTGCTTAAAAAGGAATTAAAAACGTCGGTTTTAATATTAAAATACAATTGTGGTTTGCTTTAATACATGTTAACACGAACGCTGATAAAATAACAGTTTAAAAACAAAACTAATGAGGGTGGCGCTGCTTTAAATTATTAAAACGCCATCTTTTAGTTATTGATGTAAACAGTGCTAAGAATGTATCTTTTAATTAATTTTTGCTAAAAATCGACTTTTTTGATTTTGTGTTGTAAATTACTTTTGAATTGAAGTCTGATTGGGTTATAATGAATATTATAGCGTAGAATGAAGCAGGGAGTGAGTGAGACAATTTAATGGATATGAAATTGGAAGTAGCTTTGATGAGGGTTGTCGACAAATTCTAAACTTGCAACGGGTTCTGAAGTGAATTTGCCAGACACTATTAAAAAAATGGAAATGTAAATGAATGAAATAAAGAACCTTTCTTATGACTCTTTAATAACAATCATTCCGAAATGCGCATGCTTCTCCATTATTTCATATCATTGAAAAGCAATTGAGAGAGACATTATTAAATTCTGTTTCGGTGTAAACACACTTTTATTAAGATGAAGAGGATTCAATAAATTCGTATAAACCTCGATGGGTATTTATAGTCGCATGAGCCGGAAAAACATTCGAGCATCGAGAGAAAGGAGATTTTTATTTAAATAACATTTCCGATTATCCTATTCTCTGCGTTTGAACTTCCAAGTATTTATATCTCTCTCTTTTCTATAAAGATATACAGGTCATTCCTAAGAAAAAGTGCATTTTTGTAAATTCCCCATAAATAATTAAGAATGTATCTCGTTGGAGTAGTACAAGTACTTTTTTTATATTCATAAAATCAGTTTAATAGTTTAAAAATGCGTTTTTGTGAGAAGATATTGACTATTTTAGGTTTTATTGCAAAAATTAGTTTTAAAGCCGTTTTTTGTAAGAATATTAATTTTATAATTTTATTAGGTATATGAGTAATAAATAATTAAATAACTTTATTAATTTTATTTTGAAAATGATTTATCTCGTCTTAAAAAGCGGTTTTAAATAATTCTATTCATAAAATCAGTTTCACAAAATATAATTAATTTTTATATTAATTTAAGTTTTATAACAATTTTTTTTTAAATTTATTCAACACCCATTTAATTGTTTAATTTTAACTGGTGGGCAAAATTTTACCTCTCCCACTAATGGGCAAAATAGCATTTCGCCCACGGGCTGAAATACGCTTTATAAGTTAATATTGAGGTTAAAGTTCCTTTACAGCTGTCAGATTTCAGATAAAAAATCAAATTAAATTGGCTTTAAATTCCTTGTGGTAGTTAAATAAGATATTGTGTGCGGCTATTGGTCAAAAGAGGAAATCCCACTGGCTTTGCCCGTGCGACACGCTCAAGGAATCTCCTATTTCTCCCACTGTCGCATAATATACTAATCTCCAGGTAAAACCTCCGTGTAATGTTTTTTACCTACTTGTCTGTAAAAAACTCTTTTGGATCAATCAAAAAATTTGACTTTTGTCAGATTTAATCTAACCTTACCTTCGACTTTGAATAATTATTATTATTGTACGTTTTATGTATTGTTTGACAGTATAATTATGCTTTGAAGATAAAATGTTGTACGCCATGGGGAGAACTTCTCATTAAGAAGTGTCTTTTTGTACTTTGGTCAATTGTAGACGTCCGCTACGCGTCGGCATTCAAACTTTGAGCTCAGCACAAAAACACTTACTTCTCAGCCTTATGACAAAAACCACTAATTATTACAATGGCGTTTTTAATTTCAATTTCCTTTTGAAATTGTGTTTATGGGCCTAAAAAGCGTTTTAACGGGATTCTATGGAATCATAGAATTAGTTTTATAGTTTAGAATTGCATTTTTGTAAGAAGATATCGACTATTTTACTAAATATAATTTATTGCGAATTTAAATCAGATATAAGTGTTGCTGTTTACAGACAGTATTGCCAGATTTCTATATTGTCATTTAAGTAAATTTTTAGAAATTTTTGAACACATATACAGAATTACCCATATAAAGACGTAGACAAATTGAGTACTGCCTTTGTGTTGGTCTTGGGTTATAATATATAACGTCGATATTTGTATTGGCGAATTCCTCCCATTTCTCAATGGAGAGGGAGGAAAAAACAGCTTCACCGGCGCTGTCACAATATCCGACAAGAACCAATATTTATCTACAGCTTACCAGCCTGACGCAAACTGATATAAGAAAGGACCATAGTGCCTGTTTATACTCACTCCAATCACGCCACCTCTCTCCATTCCACCTCCTCTCCTGCACGTATCTTTTCCTGCTCTTACTTACTTTTACAACGTACTCTTCTGGAGTAAGTTAACTCGATATCGGTGTTATTGTCTGGAATCAGATGGAAAAATGTGATAATTCAGTAGAAAAAAACAAGATTGAGAAAAAATGGAGAAAAATAAGAAATAAAATAGACAAGATAAGAACAATTTATGTTCGTTTCAGACAGTAAAATAATTGACAAATCTAACAATATTTATGTTATTAAACATAACTATTCTGCTTTAAATGTATTTGTAGGGTTAATATGTTTAAAAATGGTGTGACAGAACAAATGTCTAAAAAAGCAGGACAAAATTTCCTTAAAATTATGACAGTTTTTTAATTATATGAAAAATGTAATAACACAACATAAAAATATGAACTCACTAATTATTACTTAAAACTAACTATATTTAGTAAAATGGTCGATATCTTCTCACAAAAATGCATTTTTAAACTAGTTGGCGCACGAGCGTAGCGAGTGGAATCTCCTCTTTCTCCCACTAGTCGCACACAATATTAGTTTTATCCACTCTTTTGTCCAAATTTAACTTAAAGCTGATTTCAGGCCGTGGGCAAAATGCTATTTCGCCAGCGGTGCACCGGTTAAGAAATTAAATGGTGGTTAACTAATTTTATGAATTGAACCGTCTTTTCGCTTTTAAGGACAAAAATATAAATTTTTACTATAAAATTAAAATAGTCTTAGTACAAAAAATCTTAAAATAACTTAAGTAGAAACAATCCTAAAAAAATGTAAAATTTGTAAAAAAATCAATTTTTTTACAAATTTGACGGTTTTTGAGCCAATCGGCTAAATCCGACCGCAGATTCGGATTCAGCGAGGGTCAATGCATATAGTAATATTACTCAGATCCGCCGGACCGACCACTTTTTTTTGTGTGCCTAATAATTATTATAATATTAGGTATATATTTTTAAAATATTAGGTATATATTTTTAAAATAGTCGAAATAATTATATTTAATAGTTGATATCGGCTCACAAAAACGCATTTATACTATTAACCTGACTTTATGAATATAATTGTGTTAAAAAGCTTTTTGGGATGAGAAAACACATTTTTACTAAAAAACTAAAATTAAAAAAAATTGGTACAAAAACTCCTAATAGTATTTTATGCAACGACCATTTAATGATAGCTATATATATATATATACATATATATACACTATTTTTTCTACGAATATTGCAAACAAGTAGAAAATTGACACTTTGTGCTGATTTTACGGGTATTAAGTTGTTTGCGGCTTTTGCGGCCTGTAACAATTTCTGGCGGGGTTAAATTTTAATTTTACATTGACTATTTCCCTCGTCTTAATTTCCACCAATCACAAACGCGCAATTTTGAATTGCAAATGGTTTCTAGGTGAAAAAACTGTGTGACAGCACCTGTCAGCAGTTTATTCGAGTTTACCCGCGGCAAAACTTGACAGCTGTTGTCACCAAAAATTGCAATTTATATTTTAATTGTTAACTGTTACTCATGAAATAGTCTTGTCAAATACCATTCGAGCATCAAATTTTTCCTGTGAAAAAAATCGAAAAAACACAATGCTAAGTAATATTTTTTAACAAAATGCATTCGTGCAGGTGCAAAAATCCTCCTTTTCGACTCGGATTTTTGTTGCCACCAGCACTCATGCTTTTTGTTAAAATATTACTTAGCAACGTGTTTTTTCGATTCTTTTCGGAAAAATTAAATGCCCCACATATCAGAGTGCGTCTATCGCACATGTTCACTAATTTTAACATTAAATGGCAAAAGGTCAATATCGATGGTTATTTGACAAAACATCGTAAGCGACAAAACCTAAATTTTATAGGAGAGATTTTTTTTTGTGTGAGAAGCTTTATTTTTAAAGTTATTTATCTGAAAACTGGTGAGGCATTATTTTATTAATCAAGAATTCAAATATTTAAGTAAGATCAATCTAATCTAAAATTTTCATTAAATTTTGTGGCACACAATATTTTATAAGAACATCTTTAGGAAAATATAAAATTAGTCTTGTCGCTTAAGTTCCATTTACGTTACTTTGTGGGATATAAATTTGATTATTACTTTTGTCAAAACATCGTTAGCGACATTTATTTTTTTACTTTTATTATTAAATAAAAAAAATTACAAAAAAATTAATTTATAAAATATCACCAACGATATTTTGCCAAACAATGTTTGAAAATGAAATTCTACATTAGCTTTCTTTGAAAAAAACGAACGATTTTATTCACAAACCAGTATCTAACCCATGGAGCCTACACAAGAAGCCCGAACTTAATAGGGGAAATTGATAAAACCTGCCCTCTACAAATTAAGTTTCTTTTTTTCACCACCTGCGGCGCTGATTGTCGATGCTAGCGTTTCGGTACAAATTAAACAATTGTTTCAGAATAAACGGAACACCAGCGACCTCTTATCTTAGAAAGATTCTTGTTTACATGATTTTCGGACTCCTTGTGTAGGCTCCATGATCTAACCCATGGTACTATGATCTAACCGTTATAAATTTGAGTCAAATTATTTGACGCTATAACAACACACAATTACTACAAAAAACACTTTTAACGAACCACACTACGTAAAAACAGTTATAATTAGGATAACTAATAATAATGCAATTAAAAAAAGAAATTATAAGCTTTTGATCACCACGATGCAGGTGTACTCACGAATAAACTGTTTAGAGCGGAAATAACGCCTTAATAGATCAAGGCAGGAGCACAATATTATCGTAAGCGAAACAATGTTAAATCGCAAACGCCATGTCTCGGAGTTGCTTACGATTATTTGTCGGGAACAATAATAAAAATATTCAAACTGACCAATATTAGATTCCAAAATTGGGATAACTATTATGTTAACATGTGCAGCTTATCGTAACTGACACTTTGATAAAATAAAAAGTAATTCACCAAAATTGTCGCTTACGATGTTTTGTTAAATAACCATCGATATTAGATCTGTCCTTTCAAGCATTAAGATTCTGTCACATCATTTTTAGATTAGGTTCAAGTGCACGGTCTTATATACGTATGTAAGACCGTGTTCAAGTGACATAATGACATTTTAGCTTTATTTCTGTACGGAGTTTAGTAATAATTTGACTTTTGGACTAGTATATGAAGTCTTTCTTTATAGACTTATAGGTCTTATAATATTAAACGCTTGAAATATGCAATATTTTGTATAATATATTCTTACGTAAATGCATTTTAGAGAAATAGTTAGTAATAGTAAGTGCGCAATTTTATTTTGTTTTGCACCCTACTACAATTGCAGTTCGGGCGAGCAGTTAGTGCAGAAAATTACTTTGCGCATGTGTTAGGAACAATATTTTTTTACAAGCAAGTTCCATTTTTAACTTTAAATTTTTTTCTATTTCTCATTTTTAACTTATATTTTTATTTTGAATTATTTTAGCAATATTTTTTTGTTTTTAGTTAAAGGCTTCGTGATTTAATAATCTTCCTATATTAATGCATTTGGGCATATTTAAGCATAAACCATTTTAGAGCGCAGATTTTAATCGTTAAAATAAAAATACTTTGTGTATTAAGGTCTTAATTTGGTGGAGGAAAACATTGTTTAAAATGCCGAGCTATTAACTACTTTGCCTTTCTAAAACGAAAAAAGGGTTTCGTTGTACTCGTAGCTATGGCATATCTGCGTAGCATAATTTTCAAAGTTTATAATTAAACGTTGCAAAATTAACGCAGGTTTGCACTACTATACTTCTAAACCAGGATTTCATATATTTCATATATTTTCCTACTCCCACCTTTAAAACGTCCATTATCGTACATCTTTACATGACCTTTTAAATAGGTACACATTGACAAGTTGTGGCTTTATGAAGTTGGTTTTAAGTTAGTTGTCAAATGTCATACAATCGTTAAAATAAAGTGCCATTCTTGTAAAATATTACTAAATGTAAAAATGATTTTATTATCTTAATACAAAAATACAAAAGTATTAAACAATTTCTCAACGCTAATATTTGAAAAGTTTTTATGAACATTGTACCGACATTTTAATTTTGCCGGTAGTATATTATATTTAACTTAATTTTGGTTGGAGACTCCACCGTAAAAAAAAAACATTTTCTTTACTTTCACTGTGAAAAACTGCCTTATCAGATCAAACTGTCCATTTTCAAGGGATACATTTTGAAATAATATTGTTTTATAAATGTCGCTCTATACAAATATGTAATTTAAAGAATTTGTCGTAGAAAAAGTATAGTATGCAACTTGTTTATAAACTTTTCTAGACACACATTTAATTAAGCACTCGCTTGCAAGCTCGCTCGTACCTAAATGAAATTTGTGTCTAAAATGGGGTTTATAAAACTTGATACATATTATACTACACTACATAAAACGCCTTTACCAATCTTTATGAAATTTTGTATAAGAATACTCATATCTAAGGCCCGGATTTTTAGGTCAAAAAGTGATAAAAGGTTCCTAAATTAGGTGATATTTTTAATAAAATAGGTATTTTAGGTACCTATATTTTATGTACTTATAAAATACATAAAATATAGGTACCTAAAATACCTATTTTATTAAAAATATCACCTAATTTAGGAACCTTTTATCACTTTTTGACCTAAAAATCCGGGCTCTACTCATATCTTATATCTCAGTTTACGTGTTCGAGGGTTTTTCGAGAAAATATTTTTAAAAGCCCTTTTATTTAATATTAAAAAAAACGCCCGAAATTAAAACTTTTTTACCGACTTTGAAGCGTTGTATCTTCATTACTGTTCGTTTGATTTGTACAAAATTTTCAGGGTATACTAACAAAAATACGGTCTTTAACAGCATATTTTTTATTTACTTTGTTTCGAGCGTTTTTTAATACTAAATAAAAGGGCTTTAAGGATATTTTTTCAAAAAACCCTTAAAAACGTAAACTGATAAATAAGTTAAAGTATTTTTATCCAAAATTTTATAAAGATTGGTAAAGGCGTTTTATAGTTACAATTTTTTTACTTATTTTGCGTTAATTTTGACGGGCAGTGTATTATCATAAAATTAGTATTCATGTGGAAGAAAGTCTAAATAAAGTAATCCTTAAATGCTTCAAGGTTATATTCATATTTTGTATGCTCTAAGATACTTTACCTTAATTTAAGGTCCTTAAAGTATATAAAACATGGATATAGCTTAACCTGCTGATTTTTTTTATAGATTGCATGTTGCGGTGCAGATGGCGCTAACGACTTTTTGTCTTTGAATCAACCCCTACCAAGTGAGTGCAGAGATACCGTGACTGGTAACCCATTTTACCATGGATGTGTGGACGAATTAACATGGTTTTTCGAGGAAAAATGTGGTGGAATTGCTGGTCTAGCTATGGCAGTATGTCTTTTCCATGTAAGTATGATTTAAATCAACAAGAATTTCGTTTTGTACACATATTTATAACTGATAAACATTTTATAGTAATTTTTTAATAAATTTGTCATTTCAAACGTTTCTTCCAACCAATTAACAATATTTCTTTGAAACAATTACCCCATTCGGCTATTATGTGCTTGCTTTTGCTATTATTTTCAAACAGAGAGTAGGAAATAGTTGCTAATCCCGAGTTCGGTATTAATCACCAGGCGAGTGTATAGTTTGTAAGGATTTGTGGATTAAGGGCCCCATAAATCCGGAACCAACAAAGAAATAAAAAAAAGGGGAAACCACAACGGAGGAGGAGGAAAAGAGAGAGATCACATATCAGAGTGCGTGGCTCTTTTAAATGCTCATATAATTTTTTTTTTAATTTTTTTCTTCTTTGTGATTACAATACTGAGCTGTAGAGAATACCGTGTTTAAATTAATTTATTGCTTTTTAATAAAAAAAATACATTTTTTGAATAAACAAGTTTTTAAATTTAAAATTATGCTTACAGCTGTACATATAAAATTCCTTGTTTTAATCTAAAATTTCATTGTAAATAAAAAGTTGTTAGTTATGAAATTTATGCACATCTTTCTCTCATAACTCGGTAAACATAAAAGTTTTGTAGTTTTCTTAAAACTTAATGTTTTCCATGTAAAATCTTCTCCGCTTATCAGGAAATTTTTCATGATAAAAGTTTGTACTTTTTCTTTACTTTTGAATAACATTAAATAATAATTAAGGTAAACAAATAATACAGGGGAACTCTTTTTTAATAAAATATTTCCTTTTTTACAGGTCCTTAACGTGGTACTTAGTACAGTTCTTTCCCAAGCATTGAAAAAAGAGGAGTCACTTACAGATAACTATAGAAAATAGGTCCACAATTTAAAAAAAATATATGAGGTACAAATATAATAGTAGTTATAAGGGCATAAACTATTTTACCATGGTAACTGCAGTTAGTATAATATTGAGTTTTTTATTTTTATTTATTAAGTAATTATTGACCAAAATAAATCTATTCATTTAGGTAAAACTTTGTTTTATTTATATATAAGGTATACCTTACAATTATAATTTTACTAATTTTATCAGAAAATTGTTAAGTCTCCTTGTTTCTTACTTGTACAGCTCACTTTCGGGACACTTTGTATAATATAAAAATAAAGTTTAGTGCTACGTTTTAAACCTCAAAACAGTTTATCCATTTTTTGAGCTCTCTAAATCTCTAAGTCGAAAATCCGAAATAGACGTCGTCTGACCGATGCACAAAATAATTTTATTTGAATGGATTTAAAAGTAGCCTTAAGCAGCGCACCTTTGTCAGCCAAAACCTTTCAATCAAGAGACTACGTTTCTGAGATGCATTGGCCGAAGGTCTCTTGCCACGCCTCCAGGGAAATTTATTCCGAATTTCCTATATCGTTGAGGTTTATATCTTCATTAGTTGCCCGTAAACGTCAATATACCCAGAACATATTCCCGTTTTCATTAAAATTTACTGGAAACTAATTAATTTATTACACGCCACTGTTCTACGCAGATAGTGCATGAGTTTCAAGCACTGGCATACGCAAATTTTAGCTCTGTGTTACTCTCCCTAATTATTATAGAAATGTATCTACTGATAAATATATAACTTGTTAAATGCAATTTGATGTTGTTGCTTCGGTATCACAGTATCACAAAATATCGGTCCTATATGGGGCCCATCTATGCCCAATATTTTATCTGGGCCAATATTAAATTTATTTAGCCGATGTTTATATTGGCATAAAATAATAATTAAATATATCATTCCAATGGTTATACAAGGTTGGTCCTATATTTGCATATCATTTTAAGCCAATATATCATTAAAAATGTTTATCCAAGGTTGGCCCTTTATTGCCGTAAAATGATAATCCAATATATAATAGTCAATGTTTTTGCTAGGTTGGCCCCATATTGGCGTACAATGATTATTCAATATGTAATTACCAATGGTTGTCCAAGTTAGACCTATTGAAAATGGTTGCCAAGGTTAATATTAGCCCTAAAAATCGATATATCGTAAAATGATTTTATTTACTTAATTAATTAATGATTTTATTTACTTAATTAATAGGTAAAATGGCCAATGGTAAACATAACTGCCACAGCAAAACTTATTAACAAAGTTATAAACAAATATGGTTGCTATATGAGGTGTGTTCAGAAAATAACAGGAATTGTTAAATTTCGCGGTTTCAGAGGGTCCGGTTGTTATAAAATTTTCTTTATTATGTTGGTATACATGCCCCCGAAGTGTGATAAAAACTTTAGCTGATTTTATTGTTTATTTTGTCTGTGGCAGCCGCTAAAGTTAAACGTCTTTTATGAACTCGGCGATTTTTCGTTCATTAAAAGAAATGGATCAAAGAATTTGTATCCAATTTGGCTTAAAAAATTAAATAAATTCTGTGAAATGTTAACAAAGGCCTATAGTGGGTCTGCTATAAGTAAAACAAGAGTTTACAACTGCTATTTATAGGAGGGTCCAAGATGGCCGTGAAGATGTTGAAGATGACGAACGCCCCGAACGCCCAAGCACATTAACAACCGATAAAAACATGGAAAAAGTGAGAAGAAATGGTTATAAACTATCAGAGAAGTCGCTGATGATGTTGCTATATCGATTGGCTAATCCCATGAATTTTTTCGAATGTTTTGGGTATGAAACGCGTGGCAGCAGAATTTGTTCTAAAATTGTTAAATTTTGAACAAAGTTTTTGGCCAAAAACAACACTGTAATGATGCCCTAGCCTCCATATTCGCCAGACATGCCTCTGTCTGACTTTTTCCTATTCCCAAAAATAAAGAGAACCTTAAAGGGCCGTCGTTTTGCAAGCATAGATGACATTAAAAGTGCATCGCTGAAAGAACTAAAGGCTATACCAAAGATCGAGTTTTAGAAGTGTTTCGAGTATTGGAAGAAGAGCTTGCACATGTGCATAATATCCAATGGGGACTATTTTGGGGGCGACAACATTAATGTAGACGAATAAATAAATATTTGTTTCAAAAAACGAAAATTCCCGATATTTTCACATCTCACCGTTGCTTACGCACGCTTGATAACTATATATTCCGATAGGTTACAAATATCAGTTGGAGATGTGCGTCTGTGATGACACAGCTAAACAATGATTGGAGTGGGGCTGATCTGCTAAGTAACAAATAATGGCTAAGTTAATCGAGTAAGTTTGATAACAGAGGATTTCTTCAGGATCTACATAACCCAAGAAGTTCTTGGCAAGAACAAACAACTTCGGGCCAATGTTGGGTTTCAATATTGGACCATGCTAGAAAAAATCTGACGAAAGATATTTTGGCCCAATATCATCAAACGAATATTGGGCCAATATCTTTGTGCTACTGGGGTGGTAACCAATATTATGTTAGTTGATGGCTTGATTTTCTACTCCATTCTGCACACTTTTATCTTCTTCTCAATTGATTCTTCGGCCATTTCAAGCGGATGGACGGGACAAATCACAAAACTGTTTTTATAAAAAAAATTGTAGCTTATTTATTATATATTATTTTTGCATCAAAATTGTCAAACAAATTCTTCTATTATTAGGGTATATATTAAATAAAAAAAATCGCAAGAAATATTTTATAAAAGTAGAGATAATTTCAATAATTGACAGGGATGGACGGGACAAGATAAATCTTTTTTTTGTCCCGTCCACACCTTTCAATTATTAAAATTATATCTACTTTCATAAAATATTTCTTGAGTTTTTTTTTATTTAATGTATAACCTAATAAAAGAAGAATATTTTTGCCAATTTTGATGCCAAAATATTATGTAATAAATAATCTACATTTTTTTTTATAAAAACAGTTTTGTAATTCGTGCGTTTCGCGCGCTTGAAATGGCCGTCTTCTATATATGACTCTGCCACTAAAGACGACCTAGAATTAGTTATTATTACGAATAAAAAGAAAATAATATTGTAAAAAAACTCCTCCTAGCCGTTTCAACGAGATTAAATCGACGTTATAATCTTCTGTAAAAGACGCAGAACTTCGCCGAAAGCAATGTATACTCTGTCGGGTTCGGTTTTTTCCAAAAGAATGGATATACACGTTGTAGGTACTGTACATTTTTTCTTACGATATAAAATTAAAAAAAAATCTTCGAATATATTTCTGGTACAATTTCATGGGACTAACAGCTTTACCTTTAGAATTCTTATGAGAGACAACGTGTATCTTTTTGGTCAATATCTTGTATTTTTAGTAAATGTGCATCCACCACATGGCAATGATAAGATCAACCAACAAAATTAAGTATGAAACAGATGCATGTGATTAAATTATTATACTACTTATTACTTTGATTATTAAATTCCTCTCATCGTCTGCATTTATTGTCTTTGTGGACTTGTAGCCTACTGAATTTCACTTAAAAAAAGCGATGACTGGCAATTTGTTTCCTATTAAATATTAAAAAAAAAGTAGATGATTTTACTTTATGCCACTGTAATATAAAAATACAAAAATAGTCAATAATAATTAATATTGAATGTAATAATAGCTGCCCTTACCTTTTCATGTAAATAGCTCAATACGTATTCATCGTATACTTCATCTTCGTCTACAATTACAATGTTGTTCATTTCTTTCCATCAAATGAATGCTTTATATTTCTTTTCATAAATTTGACGAGATTTCACTGGAAGTAAATTACAATTTTCTTCGCTTTTTCAGATATAATTTGTGCATTCCGCATTTTATACCGTGCAAAAAAACGCGTAATTTTTTTTGTTACGTTAATTAACGTAACAAAAAAAAATTACGCGTTTTATTGTTAACAATATGGTATATTTGCAATTTGTTAACTATGATCGCATGGTAATTAAAGAAATAGCTGGTCTGATCAAAAATTTAAATCTGTTTTAAGTACCTTTAACAAAAAAATGTTGTTTGAAACACTTACCTAAATTCAGTTTTAA